AAAAAAAAAAAAAAAAAATTATAAGAGAAATTCAAATTTCAATGTGCATAAATAAACACAGCCACTCTTGTTTGTTTACATATTGCCTTTGGTTGCTTTTGTGTTCTCACAGCAGAGCTGGGTAGTTGTGACAAAAATCATATGACTTAAACCAAAAATGTTGACTGTCTGATCCTTTACAGAAAAAGTTTGCCAACCCCTGCTCTAGAAGAGCCGGCAGGGGAGTTGTCTTCAGATATTACAGACTTGCTAACATTATTTAGACCTAGGTATACCACAGGGTAAGAAGATGAGGGAAAACTCAAGGTTTAAAGTCCCCTGTTGGGGAACCAGTTGTGGTTTCATGGATTTTACCTTCGGTCGGTCAGCCATCCAAAGGTGATATTGCCAATAATGTCAATCACCCCAAGTATGGACATGAGAAAAGCAGCTTGCTGGTGACTCACTCCGACACTCAAAGCATAAGGCACCAAGTACACGAAGAGAGGGCTGCAGCCATAAGCCATAAACAGGACAGAGATGGCTAATACAACAAAGTCTGACATCAGCAAAAAACTATATTCCTGCTGCAAAGAGCAACAGAGGCAAGTCTGCACCCATTCTTTGGTCAAAGGTGAATAGGCAGACGCCCGCTGACAGTCTTCTTTCTGAGTTCTACAGAAATGGTTCTGCTCTGGAGTAGCATGGTCCTCGTTTAGAGTAATTGGCCGCATCAAGGCACCACAGACACAGAGGTTCAGAACAAAGCCCCCAAGAATGAGTAATGCTCCCCGCCAGGAAAACTGCTCAATGAGGAGTTGGACCACAGGAGCCAGGATGAAGGTGCCAATGCCACTTCCCGACATGGCGATCCCATAAGCGAGGGCTTTCCGTCTGCTGAAGTACTTGCCAACCATGGCGATGGCTGGAGAGTAACAAAGTGCAAATCCAAGACCTGGGGATAAAGAGAGCTCTGTGAGAGCCGGCACTCCATGAAAAGCCAATGGAAGAAGATATCTCAGATTAACATTATTTAAATTAAAGAGAATCTGACTTGCTGATAAACCGTTTTAAACTGTTTTGTACACCAAACTGGAGATGAATCTCCCCTCATCATTCAGAATTTGGAAAATGTAGAATATATATGACTTTCTTCTTAAGACCATCATTAAGGAAATATGACTTATTAAAATTAAATGAATTATGCAAACTAAATTAGAATTAACAAGAAAATCTGGATAGTGCCAACCAAGGACACATATGTCTCCTCCTTTTTTTTTTTTATTTTGAGTGGGAGTCTCACTCTGTCGCCCAGACTGGAGTGCAGTGGCCGCTCCCGGCCGCAGCCTCGACCTGCTGGGCTCCGGCGATCCTTCCACTTCAGTCTTCCAAGTAGCCGGAATTACAGGCATGTGCTACCACACCCGGCTGATTTTTTGATTTATTGTAGAGATGAGGTCTCGCAGCCCAGGCGGGTCTCGAACCCGCGGGCTCAGGCAATCCACTCGCCTCAGCCTCCCAAAAGCGCGGGATTACAGGCTGAGCCACCGAGCCTGGCCTCTTTTTTTTTTTTTTAAATTAAATTACTCAGATAATTGCCTTAACTCTTCACTGCCTGTGAAGACACAACTCTGATCACCTGTACTGCTCTGGAATTTGGATTGAAATAGCATATAGTACTCCCTGAAAGTTCCAGAGTAAATTTCACATAGTTGAGAAGCATCATGAGAATCTTACATGTGAATATAATGTCACTTAATGTCAAAAGAAAAGTGTTGACCACCCAGAAAGCTTTTCTTTTTTTTTTTGAGTTGGAGTCTCACTGTCGCGCTCAGACTGGAGGGCAGTGGCCGCTCCCGGCCACCGCAGCCTCGACCTGCTGGGCTCTGGTGATTCTTCCGCCTCAGCCTTCCAAGTAGCTGGAACTACAGGCGCACACTACCACGCCTGGCTAATTTTTTAAATTTATTTATTGTAGAGATGAGGTCTCGCCTGCCCAGGCGGGTCTCGAACTCGCGGGCTCAGGCAATCCACTCACCTCAGCCTCCCAAAGGCGCGGGATTACAGGCTGAACCACCGAGCCTGGCCCAGAAAGCTTTTTAAAAGATGCTTCAGTTTCTATTACTTTTTTTTTTTTTCTTTGAATCGGAGTCTCTCACTTCACTGCCGAGTCTGGAGTGCAGTGGCAAGCTCACAGCCACTGCAGTCTCAACCTGCTGGGCTCAGGCGATCCTTCCACCTCAGCCTTCCAAGTAGTTGGACTACAAGTACATGCCACCATGCCCAGCTAATTTTTTGATTTATTGTAGAGATGAGGTCTCACCAAGTTGCCCAGACTGGTCTCGAACCCATGAACTCAGGCAATTCTCTCACCTCGGCCTCTCAAAGTGCTGGGATTATAGACATGAGCCACCACCCCCAGCCTCCATTACTTTTTAAGTCAAAAAAATCTGAAGGGCATTAGGCCTGGAATTCATGGCAACCAGAATGTCAGAGAAGGAAAAGGAAAAGCACCTTCCGCTCCTGTTTCCATCTGCAGGGCTAGAGAGCTGGCGATCCAGAGTTGTCCAGACTGAGAAGTTTCTGGATGTGGGACTTCCAGTGCTAAAACTAGGTCAGTTTTAGCTGTCTTAAACAAGGACAGTTTAGAACAGTGACTGGTCAACTGGAGCCCACTGGTCACCATAGCAACAGCCAGGCCCTTTGGGTTAGTTACTAGGAGTGGATGCACCTTATTGCACTGACAAAGTTAGATTTACCACCTGACAATGAGGTTACATCTTTTATTAACTTGGTTCATGCTACCCCAGTGACACAATACCCAGAGAGGAATTAGAGCTACTCTCTACACCCCTCTGAGTGATGGGGAGACCACTATTCCAATCCTACCAACCAATTCTTCTTGATTCTCTGCAGTCCCATTAAGTGTGATTTACAGAATGCACATGGTGCTTCTCTTTCCATGGGATTCACTATGGTTCACTGAAGTGATACTTCCATAGCATTGAGAAAGATGGTACAATATAAGAATAGTCACAATGAGGGGCTTTTTAAAAAATTGGAAACTCTCATTTTTTAGACAATTATGTTCATTATAAATAAAGCAGGGGGAGGCCAGGCTTGGTGGTTCAGCCTGTAATCCCAGCACATTGGGAGGCTGAGTTGAGTGGATTGCTTAAGTTCGTGGGTTTGAGACCAGCACGGGCAGCTTGGCGAGACCTCGTCTCTACAATAAATCAAAAAAATTAGCTGGGCGCGGTAGTGTGTGCCTGTAGTTCTGGCTACTTGAAAGGTTGAGATGGAAGGATCACCGGAGCCCAGCAGGTCGACGCTGCAGTGGCTGTGAGCGTGCCACAGCACTCCAGCCTGGGCAACCAAGTGAGACTCCAACTCAAGAAATAAATAAATAAAAATAAAAAATAATAAAGCAGGGGTCCGGGCGCAGTGGCTCAAGCCTGTAATTCCAGCACTTTGGGAGGCCAAGGGATTCGAGACCAGCCTGCGTAAATTGGCAAGACCTCATCTCTACAATAAATCAAAAAATTAAAATCAAAAAATAAAATAAAGCAGAGGCAACTCAGATTGATGGTAGATAGTATTTGATGGCAGATAGTCTTGGCAAAGATGCTGGGAGAATGACCATGGCTGAAAATTTATGTCACCTTGGGTAATACTTTGTTTCTTCTGAGTTCACAATCTCGGCCATACACTAATGCTAAAGACAAGGCCAGCAGTTCCTTTTATCACATGGTTGAATTAAAGTGGTGCATTTTCATTAGGGTGATGCAATCCCATTTCCAGGTCCATTTAACTGCTGGGTCGGTAGACATAAGCTAGGCCAGCTAAACTGTGCATCTAACAAAATTAATATTTTATGAATTATTGCTCTATTGATGTGCTTGGCAATCCCTGGATGGGGTGGGGTGAGGCAAGTGGTACAAAGGGTCCTTACCTGTAAGAACTCCCAGAGTGAGGTAGAGGTGCTTCAGGCTGGTGGCAAAGGAGCCGAGGATGAGACCAGTAGATGCAAGCAAGCCACCAAGCATGATTCCCACTTGACAGGACAAATGGTTACTGACAACACTCCCAAGTGGAGCTTCAAAAACAATAATAAACAGGTTCAACAGAGAAGTGCTGAGGGCACTGTGAAAAGGCTGAGGTGTTGCATTGGCAGAGCAGAGAACAATCGACCTTTAAAGCATTGAGCTCATCGCACTAATTCTACACTTTGGATAGAGGCCTGGAGGGAAAGGAAGTGATTTGTCCATGGTCTCATACAGAATAAGTGGCAGAACTGGGATAGAACGTGTCTCCTGACTCACATTTCAGCACTCATTCCTCTTCATCCTATTAGTCACAGCAGCGGACAACAGAGGTTTTGTTTTGTTTTGTGTTGGAGTGTCACTCTGTTGCCCAGGCTGGAGCACAGTGGCATGCTCACGGTCACCGCAGCTTCGACTAGCTGACTCAGGTGATCCTTCTAACTTGGCCTCCAAAGTAGCTGGAACTAGGCACAGCCACCACACTTGGCTATTTTTTGATTTATTGAGGAGACACGGTCTTGCCAAGTTGCTCAGACTGGTCTCAGATCTCTGGGCTCAGGCAATCCTCTCACCTCTACCTTCCAAAGTGCTGGGATTTCAGGCATAAGCCACCGCGCCTGGCAGGAGGATTTTTAATTAAAAAACAAAGCAACCTTCCCACAATACCATATCATATCTTAAATTTCTTTCTTTCTTTCTTTCCTTCTTTCCTTCTTCCTTCCTTCCTTTCTTTTTTTTTTTTGAGTTGGAGTCTCACTCTATCGCCCAGACTGGAGTGCAGTGGCCGCCCAGCTGATTTTTTGATTTATTGTAGAGATGAGGTCTCGCTGCCCAGGCGGGTCTTGAACCCGCGGGCTCAGGCAATCCACTCACCTCAGCCTCCCAAAGGCGCGGAATTACAGGCTGAGCCACTGAGCCCAGCTCCTTCCTTCCTTTCAAGCTGGAGTCTCACTCCAGCTCTCAAGCTGGAGTGCTATGGCATGCTCATGGCCACCACAGCCTCAATCTGGTGGCCTCAGGAGATGTTTCCATCTCAGCTTTCCAAATAGCTGAAACTATAGGCATGTGCCACCATGCCCTGCTACATTTTTTTGATTTATAGTAGAGACAAGGTCTCGCCAAGTTGCCCAGGCTGGTCTCAAACCCCTGGGCTCAGGCAATCTTCTCACCTCCTAAAGTACCACGCCCGGCTTAGGGTGTTTTTTAAATAGTGGATCAACTCTATTTAAACGGACACGCAGACCAGGCACAATGGCTGACACCTGTAATCCCAGAATTCTGGATGGCTGAGGCAGGAGGATTGCTTAAGCCCAAAGTTTGAGACCAGCCTGGGCAAAATAGTAAGACCTCATCTCTATAAAATATCAAAAAATTAGCTGAGTGTGGTGGTGCATGCCTGTAATCACAGCTACTCAGGAGGCTGAGGCAGGAGGATCACTTGATCCCAGGAGTTTGAGGCTTATGCCACTGCACTCCAGCCTGGGTGACAGAATGAGATCGCAACTCAACAAGATGACAACAAAACTACATGCTACTTGCACAGGATGTTTGCTATGGTAGTGATCATATGCCATTAGTTATAATGATGACAGTTAATTGGTAGAGAAAGACAGTAGGCAACGCCAAATGACCACAGCAGTGTCATGCAGTGAAAGACCAGGGAGAGAGAACTTACACAAGTTTCTCCATCTAGCACTGCTTTCAGACTTCAGCACACCCTGTGGATGAGCTATCAAAACCCAGGATATCTCAGAAAAAGGCTTCACACCCATGGTGACATTTTGGTTGGCCTCACTCTGTCCGTGATTTATCAGTGTATCTGAATTATGTTGACCTCAAAGTTTATAGAATATGAATTAATGCTAGAAGAGGCCAAAAAGGAATTCAGAGGGCTATGGCATTCCCAATGTCACCAAGAAGCATAGCTCAGGGCAACTGACACCGAATGTGAAGTTATTTTACTCTCTTACTTTTATAGTCTCCCAGACTAATGACAGGAGTGATGGGGCAGGTAGGGAGAGAGAGACATATGAATTTTCTTCTAAGGAACAATTCATGTCGATCCAAATAACTCCTAGTAATTCTCTGACTTTAGTACCTCCTAGCAATAAGATCAGAAGAGCCAATTCTCTCGCTATCTGTAGAGTGTGATCATTTTTGTATTGATCAGGTTGAAATTGGGAGCCGCCTCAACTGTCCACTTCTCTGTTCATTGTAGAACAGATCTGTTCCCAATGGGCGACCCAGGTGTGATTCTGCAGCCTTCTGTCCATATTCTGAACTCTAACGTTCAAATGTTATATTACCAGGTGAGCAGGTGGGTATATGGTAATTGGGTAAAAGAGGCTTCTCGTTCTTTCATAGAATTTAAATATGCTGCATCTGACATGACCTGCTCAAAGCCTCACACAGTCACTGAGACCACATTGGTCAACCAAGGCCATTCATTCTACATTGGGGATTACGAATATCCTCCAAAAGATAACTGTGAGGGAAATGTCACCTTTGTCCTCTGAGAAAAATAAATATGGCTGTCTTGTGCTGATATAAAGGCTGTGACTAATAGTGTGACCCCCTGAAAATTAAGTGATTGATTGTTTTACTGGTTAAAAAAAAAGAGTCTACAAAACCCAAATATATAATTTTTGATCCCTTAAGAACTTTTTATCCATTGAGAGAGTCAGCTTAGTCTTCCATGAAGCTTGCTATTCGTTTTAGAATTTCTCTCAAATTCCACCCAACCAAAGAAATACATTTCAGCACAATTCAACTGATTGCTGAGAGTATATATATTTTTCTAGAAATAAATGAGTCAGCACCTAGAATGGAATCAGAGGAGGTTATTATGAGTTACTGAATAAAACACATAGTATTTCCTTTTTGCCACCAAGACATGGCCTGAAGAGATGAAAGTTTTTGAAAATTCTCAGGATTCATTTAAATGAAAGGATTCAGTGGGTCTAGGCTGCAAGCAATTTGATCCCATCTTAGAAACTCTCTAAGACACCAACTTAATAATTTTAGCTTGAAATGTATAAAAAGGAAAATCTCAAGGATTGTCACCCTCTACTTTATAGATGGAACGTTAGTTTCCACAAGTCTCTAAAACACTCTACATACCCTATATGATACCTTTAGCATTTCTGAAATGAAATCATAGCCATAGTGAATATGTTTATCCCATGATTACATGATCCTACTCTTCCCAATACTTCTCTAAGCACGAGGATTTATGCATGAAAAAAATGAAATCCATAAGCCAAATTTCAAACCTGCAGAGAAGGGAACAGAATGCAAACAAAATTGAGATGTGGTATAACACTGCAGGCACTCATCTAAGGAGATCATATAGAAATGGTTAATGGTGCTATTCAATGACTGTTTACATGACTGGAGAGTGAGAAGGCTACAGTATTTGGAAGAGAGATGCCAAGCATACACTTTGGGGTAATCTGCTTCCAAATCAGGATAGGTTCCAACTATCTGTTCTAGCTAACATTAGCCAAGACCATTAATTCCAAGAGCAAGACTGACTGGCTTTGGCTGAAGGTAGGATCAATCTTTTCTTTTCATATAGTCTTGGCCATTTTTTAATATAGCCATTCTACTTAGGAAAACTTATAATCAAGGTCACTAGATGGTCATGTCATGCAACTGTTCAAAAGTAGCCTGTAATTGTCCATCCTGGTAAGTGATACTCACCACAGAGCATGGTCACACAATCTACAATGGAATGGATCCATGCTGTTTGTGCATAATCCTGAGCGAAGTATGTCTGGAACTCCACAAAAAAAATTGAGATACATCTGAAAATACAATACAGATATTTGATTAAAAAAAAAGTGAATGAATGTGGATTTGAACCAGAACTTAAAAGGTTTAATTCAATCAGCTGTTTTAGTCTCCAAGGGTTTTGATTGCTGGACCAAAATAAATAGAAAATCAGAAGTTGATCATTTGGGCCATTCTGGAGAACAAGAACAAATGTTCAACCAGCAGAGGGGCTGAAGCCAAGTAGATGTGAAGATCACTGCTGTAGGGAAGGTTTTATAGAAAAGAAAACAGGTCAAGAACACAGATTCTTACTCATCTTAGTATTTTGCTAATAGCTACAGCTTCTAAGAGGTTGTTTATACAAGTTAGAATCTGATAATAAAGAGTTACACACCACCCAGCAATTTCACTTCTAGGATTAACACAAAGGTAATAAGCAGATGACAATAATAATAATAACAACAACAGATATATGAAAGGATATATTCTGGAGAACTATTTGTTTTTTCAGTCAGCGTCTCACTCTGTCGCCCAGGCCGGAGTGCAGTGGCATGCTCGCAGCCATCATAGTCTTGACCTGCTGGGCTCAGGTGATCCTTCCGCCTCAGCCTTCCAAGTAGCTGGAACCACAAGCACACAGCACCATGCACAGCTAATTTTTGATTTATTGTAGAGATGAGGTCTCACCATGTTGCCCAGGCTGGTCTCAAACCCATGGGCTCAGGCAATCCTCACGTCCCTGCCTCCCAAAGTGCTGGGATTACAGGCTTGAGCCACCACACCTGGACAAAACTGGCATAACCAAATATTGTAACTAGCTGTTCATCAATAAAGGACTGGCTAAATAAATCATGGCATATTAACAAAATGAAATGCTATTAAATATTAAAGATGATAATGTATTCCTTAATTTGGAAATACATTTACAGTATGATAGTAAGTAAAAATGATACAAGGTAATTCATACAGTAAGAACTTATCTTGGTAAAAACATAGTTTATATAAATAGAAAAAGCCTAAAAGCTTGTACACCAAAATGTGCCCAATCATTATACATGATGGTAAGATAATGAATGATCATTTTTGTTTTCATTGTACATCTTGAACTGTTTTACAATAAATGTGATTTCTTATATAGCCAGAAATGTGTATATGTGTGTGCGTGCAGAGAAAGGGAAAGAAATATTCATGTTGAAAAATAATTACCTAGAGAAAAAAAGATAGACGCAAACTTGAAGCAATAGTTTGTATCACTGTACAACGTGGAAAAGCTGCACCCTGATTAGCATGGCATCCTAATTCAGGGCAGCATGACTTTAAAGCCTGTGACAAGAAGGGAGCAAATTAGACCTATGGCTTGAGGGTTGAGGTGAGAGGCTATTAATCTCCTTGGATGGGGCCAAATTCCAACTCGTCATGCTTCAATATCCCATAGTAACCTGTTCTTTTCACTCTCTCTCCTCTCCTGTGGTTGCTGGATGTGAAAGTGGGTAGTGGAGAGCTTGAAGAAGAAGGGAGAGACCCAGGGCTAACCAGGACAGCTGTGCTCGGTGGGGTCAGCTTCATGGGAATGCAGCCTACACAGTCACACAGAACCTGGCACTCAGAAGCATGAAACTTGATTTAATGCTTGGCAGTCACTGAGTTAAAGTTCTTAATCATTTAATTTCTGAATTTGTGTCTTGTAAGGAAAGTCCAGTGGAATGATAGAGGCTGCATATGAGCAGAGGAGAGACATACAATAGGTGTGGACCCACAACGTGAGGGAGTACAAGGCAAGTGTGTTACATTTATGACTGAGTAGACGTGGGGTAGGGAGAAAGAGGGGTCTAACAGCCCCGAGAAGCCTTGCTCTCCTTCTGAACCAAAGTCTCCTTCAAACATTGAAAGAAGGCAGTGGTGTTCTCAGAATCCCAAAGGACCAAGAATTCCTACCATATCCTTTCTTATTCATGTTACTTCCTGTATTAGCCAACCACTTATACTAGAAGGACAGCATAGAAGGGAGCGGAAAGATCAAGCAATCCATATTTCCTTTCCCTTTCACTCCTAACTGATTGAGAACCATCAGTAAGCTGAAGACAAGAGCGTGTTGATAGGATGTGTAAGTATCAAGAAGTGAAAGAAAAACGTTGAATGAGTTCTATGCAGGGTTTCCACTGTTCTGAGAAAAACGAAATACATATGCACATGCGAGCTGCAAAATAAGAGTTGTGTAACTTTAGTGACCCCACATACGAGTTCAATATTCATACATTCATACTTGCATTTAAATCTGATATTGCATAACATAAAGATGAATGGTAAATTCATGCTGATAATATAATATTACCATTTTTCTTTACATATAATGACACTAAATAGCAAATTTAAAACTCCATGAAAAATTAAGAGAGACCACCGAAAAAAGGAAAAACCTTTCTATTTTGCTCCTTTGACTTTTTTCCTGCTTTTTGAACATGGGATCCTGCATTTTCATTTTAGGCTGGGCCCACAATTAATGTTGGTCCTTGTGACAGGAAAGAGAAAAGCGAACAGTGTGACAAGTTAAATTCTAAGTCTCAGCAGATGCCAGGATGGGGTTTGTTGTGCAGGGTATAAAGATCAACACCTGTAGAAGGAAGGGGAAGGAGGCAGGATTAAGCAGCGAGGTGAAATTGTGATGCAGGCCTGACAAATTCTCAGCTAGTCCCAAATGAAACCGTCCAGCCTAGATGTACCTCCCTCAATCAGTTAGAATATTGGGTCCCTGAGCACACTGATGGGTGTGCCCTTAGGAGAGACCGTTTTCTGCAGGTGAGAGAGGCTCCACGCTCTGTGGTTGAAGTTGAATGAGTGGTACATCTCTGTGTTCACTTCAGTCCTATTCTTGTTCTCCACACTGAGCACTGTATGTAATTCCACTGTATGTAATTCCTTTGTGTGTCAAAGGAATCTAAAAAGTGGTCCTTCTCCATCCAGTGATTTAAGAAACAGGATATGCTATAGTAGGTTGATGCTAGATTAATAATTATAACAGAACTTGGAGTATAAAAACAGAGTCACAGCCGGGCTCGGTGGCTCAGCCTGTAATCCTGCGCCTTTGGGAGGCTTAGGTGAGTGGATTGCCTGAGCCCGCGGGTTCGAGACCTGCCTGGGCAACGAGACCTCATCTCTACAATAAATCAAAAAAATCAGCCGGGTGTGGTAGCGCATGCCTGTAATTCCGGCTTCTCCGAAGGCTGAGGCGGAAGGATTGCTGGAGCCCAGCAGGCGAGGCTGCGGTGGCCAGGAGCGGCCACTGCACTCCAGTGTGGGCGACTGAGTGAGACTCCAACTCAAAAAAAAGAAAAAAACAGAGTCACACCTAATAATACAGAGAATGGTAGCATAAACTACTTGGCTAATTATATAAATTTCTTTTTTTTTGAATTGTAGTCTTACTCTGTTGCCCAGGCTGGAGTGCAGTAGCATGCTCATAGCCACCACAGCCTTGACCTGCTGGGCTCAGGTGATCCTTCCGCTTCAACCTTCCAAGTAGCTGGAACTACAGGCACATGCTACTATGCCCAGCATATTTTTAAAAATTTACCATAAGGACGAGGTCTCACCAAATTGCTCAGGCTCGTCTCGAACCCCTGAGCTCAGGCAGTCCTCTTGCCTCGGCCTCCCAAAGTGCTGGGATTACAGGTGTAAGCCACTGTACCTGGCACGAATTTAAATTTCATGAAAATATCACAGAGCTCTTTTAAAAGCACAGATCAACTGCAATTAACTTAAACTAGTTTTTATTCAGTGCAACAACTTTACAATATTTCTTAACATTCTAAAGATTGCTGGTTTAGTACTAAAAATTCTATTATTTTCTCCTAACCACTAGACATTCAATTTAAGTGAATAATGATTTATTGGATACAGTCTCATTATTAAAATATAGTCATATGCCAGGCCAAGAGCAGTGGCTTACACCTGTCATCTCAGCACTTTGGAAGGCCAAGGAGGGAGGATTGCTTGAGGCCAGGAGTTCAAGACCAGCCTGGGCAACATAGTGAGACCCAGCCTCTCTAAATAATAATAATAATAATCCAGTCACACTCAACAAAGAACCACATGTATGATGGTGGTCTCATAAGATTATAATATTATATTTTTGCTGTACCTTTTCTATGTTTAGATATACAGATACTATTGTGTTACAATTGCCTACAGTGTTCAGTATAGTGATATGCTGTATAGGTTTGTAGTCTAGAAACAATAGGCTATGCCATATACCTAGGTGTGTAGTAGCCTATGCCATCTAGGTTTGTGTGAGTACACTGTATGATGTTTGCACATCAACAAAATTGCCTAATGATATATTTCTCTGAATGTGTCCCCGTCATTTTTTTTTTTTTTTGAGTCAGGGTCTCACTCTGTCGCCCAGGCTGGAGTGCAGTGGCACACTCACGGCCACCCCGGTGTCGACCTACTGGGCTCAGGCGATCCTTCCACCTCAGCCTTGCAAGTAGCCAGAACTATAGGCATGCCTGGCTAATTTTTTTTGGATATATCGTAGAGACAAGTTCTCACCAAGTTGTCCAGGCTGGCCTCGAACCCCTGGGCTCAGGCAATCCTCTCACCTCGGCCTCCCAAAGTGCTGGGATTACAGACTTGAGCCACTGTGCCTGGCTGTGTACCCATTATTAAATGATGTGTGACTGTAGTTGGATTCTCCGTAACCCAAAGTTTCTCAGTGGAAGCACTATCGACATGTTGGGTCAGATAATTCTTCGTCGTGGGGGCTCTCCTGAACATTGTAGGAGGTTCAGCAGCATCCCAGGCCTCCACCCAAAATGTCTCCAGACATTGGCAAATGTCCCCTGGAGATCAAAATCAGCCTAGTGAGAACCACTGACCTCATTAGTTGCCACGTTCTATTTTAATTCTACTTCATAATATGCCTCAAAAAATTCCTCTGTGTCTCCATCCCACTTTATCATTTATGATTCATGCCAGTGCCTTCCTCTTGGCCTGTCGCCAAAACTCTCCTACTGAATCTTCCTGAATTAATAGT